AAATTGCAACTTACATTATGTTCAATAACATGTGTTCGAACCGGCAATTTAAACATGGACGAACTTATGTTTCGTGATAATAATCTTGATGCTTGAAGAATGGTAGACATTTTTTATTGGATTTTATCAGATTTTATTAAATTGAAATATAAATTAAATATTCGAAATGAAAATTTCACAAAAAAATGGATTTTAAAAAATGATTTGAAACCGTTATTGATAGGCCAACCGCACCGAAAGAAAATATGGTGTGCTATTGATGAAAATGTGTGTGAAAGTGAGAGAAAACACACACATGCAATGCTGCGCAATTCAACATGCATGCATGCATTTTTTAACATGAAGAATTTTCGAGTTCGAATGAGCTATTCATATAGCCTGTTTTCATTCAATTCGTCCTAAATGAAAGGAAAATGAATTGAAAAAAATTTAAAGGTCCTTTATGAAATATTTCCATTCTTTTTCACTAGATGGCAAAACTGTATTCGTATTTTTTTTTTAAACGTTCGAATTCGAATATCAATTTTTTTTCTTCCAAGAATTTGAAATTGTTTGTTTGGTTCATCCAAATATCATTATATAATCCGGTTTGTTTTTGTTGTTGTTGTTGATTTCGATTTCATTACATAACCATTGTCTGAAAATTGTTGTCTAGATAGATATTTTTTTGTTTTTGTTTTTTTGTTATATTTTCAATCAACCATGATCCGAGTAAACACCATTTTTAGATCATTCAACTACTATTATTTTGGTTTTTATATATTCATAATATGAATCCAAATGACATGACATGAACGAAATCATTTCATGTCATCATCATTATTATCATCATCAACATTAGGTAAGGTATAATAATATTGCCAAATAGTTATTCAGAAACTAAAGAAAGACAAGAAAGAAAAAAAAAGATCTCTAATGATGTAATAGTGTATAGAAAAGGTTAACACATTCTCTATTCTCTTCATTTTTTTTTTCTTCAAATGATAAATGAAATTTCCAGAAAATAAAAGAGACGAGTTAGAACACATTTTTTACAACACACAAACACTATCATTATTCTTCTCTTATTATTTATATAAGAAATTTTTTAGATGATGAAAAAGTATAAACGAAAGCGAAACACCTGGGTTCACTCCCAGTTTTTTTTTACTTCAAAATATATAAAGTTTCTTTCATCATATTTCGTGCCTGTTTCCAGAAAAATTTTTGTACATTTAACTCTATCGTTTTGTTTTGTTTTTTTTCTAAATAACTTGCTGCTGCAATCGATTTTAATAGAATTCAGAAAAAAAATGAATAAGAATACCAACAACAACAGCATTAAGCTGCATTGAATATTTTAGATCTTTTCTCTCTTTCTTTAGATTTTCTCTATCTTGCTCTTTTTGTTTTTTGTTTTGAAGAAAAAATAATCTATTGATAAACTCTAAAATGAGGTTCTGATTTCTTTCATTGTTGTAGTTGATAATAATGATTATTATGATTATTATTATTATCATAATGATAATTGTAATGATGATTATTTGATGTTGTCGTCATCATCGTATCTTTGTATCGTATCTTTCCCATTTTTTTTTTTTTTTGCTTCTATTTAGTGGTTAGCAATTTTCATTAATGATTGTTGATCCTCATCATCATCATCATCATATCAACCATGATTTCAATTCCTTCCTTGATTTCTTTTCAGTAATAATACTCCCTTTACTCTCTTTTTTTTCTTTCTCTCTCTCCCTATATTTTAT